ACTGTAGAATTTGGCGAGAAAAGCAGAACAATGCGCAGATTGTGAAATTCATGAGAATTTTTGGATTTTCATGAGTGAAAAATTCAGTCCGATGCGCGCAGCATGCATTACCATTCTATATTTCTTTTTATTAATTAATTTTTTTTTTTTGAGAGTAAGCGGCTACACAGTGAATGAATGAGTCGGAAAAGAAAAGGTGAGGGAGCTCGAACCAAGAGGGTGACAAATGACAATGACAAATATTTGAGAAATATTTCACATAGGATTTCTAAAAAAAAAATCATGCAAATACCATTACATTTCAATGAAATTAATTAAATTCACGAGGTAAATTCTTCATCGCATATCAACGACTGTAAAATTTGGTGAGAAAAGCAGAACAATGCGTAGATTGTGAAATTCATGAGAATTTTTGGATTTTCATGAGTGAAAAATTCATTCCGATGCGCGCAGCGTGCATTACCATTCTATATTTCTTTTCACTAGTTTATTTATCTATTTTTCTGAAGAAAAAAACAAGATTATACGCGTTCCGTTATGGTGTGGTTAGCGCAAAACTCGGAAAATTGTAAAACCGTAGTCGAAAAAAAGGTATAAAAGTTGAAGAGGTTGAGCATGTGGATCCCAACTGGGTAGTCAGAAAAGCGGGATATTAAAAATTCCTGACGAACGTTGCGGGAATAAGTGTCTTCTCAAAGTGGCTCGAAGTATGACCACCGGCCATGATTCTCGCATGTTTGAAAATCCTGTTGTGGATCCGATAGCATGAGTGTAATAGATATGCCCTGGTGGAGCAAGTGTGCACATGCACACACACATAATATAGCTTCCAGCGGAATCCACACACCGTTGAGAATTCGGTTTTGGTTTCGTAGGAGTACACTGAACCTGATGCATAACAGCACCAGCAGCGTATCAGGGGGTTAGTTGTTGTCAGAGGCCTATAGCACTCTCATCTCCTGCATAATACACACCATGAACCATGTAAGAGTGTACAATATCATCATAGAAGCTTGGGCTTTTGGGCCGAACTAGTTTGATGTACCGACGACATCGAGAGAGTCCAGAAACCCCGGCGGCTGGTTTACGCAAACGCAATTCCATAGAGCGGTTCTATGCTTCATTATGAAGAGACCTAGTGGAAACACGTTAACTGCGTTAGCTATACTGAGTTCGTCCATCCGCGACATTATATTCCGGCATATCCTACCAAAATACAACTGAATCTCTAACGTTGTTTAGCTGTGTGGGTATAACCACAAAACCCCAATAATACCAATCTTCCCCGATTCTCCTCAACATGTGCATCATTTTATCATACATAATCCAATTTTCCAGTGACGAAACACTGCCGTTTCGCCATTTTCATATTTCATTATTGCAATTGTTATTTATTCATTCAATTTTGCTCGACTGAAAAATGTCTACTAAAATTTTTAATCTCTTTATCCTTTCGTATTCTACTCCTTATTTTCTCGGGCTTTTTCCTCCTAGAGTGCACACGCTAGTGATGAACGGTTAAATCGTTTCAGTATAGATATAGATGTGTGTATGTGTATATGTATATATTCCCTCGCCATTGAATTCTTGTCCTCAGGGGAAAGCCCGGGCAAGCCGCAGCTCACCCCTTATATCGATTTCATCCAATAAAATGAATGATAAAGTGAACCAAAGTGTAGGTCAATACGTAATTTAAAAACAATTAAATAATGTAATGTGGTTTTTATTCAGGCATTTCTTGAGATGGCCGATGAGAATGCTGCTACCACGATGGTTGGCTACTATGCAGCAAGCGGAGCGTCGCTCAGGGGTCGCGCCGTTTACGTACAATTCAGCAATCATCGGGAGCTCAAGACTGATCAGGCCCACAGCAACGCGGTCAGTAGTCCAACAAACATCATCGCCAATGTCAACGTCAGTATCTATCATTCATTTATTTTTATTTCTTCTTTTTTTCTTTCTTTACACTGAGAGAAAAACGACAAAGCTCTCGAACGAGTCTTACTTGTGCCAAGAGAATAGTTTTCTGAAAATTATCAAAAAAGGATTTTTTTCTGCCAAACATGCAGAGAGTGCGCCGGAATGAAAAATTTTTGTCGCAAAAATAGATTTAGTACACGAGAAATGTTCAGTAAACNTCGAAATCAATGTATATGAAAACTTCTCATCTCATTTCAAAAATTTCGCAATAAGCGCCATGCATACACATGTATATATTAATACAATAATAATACAATACATATAATAATATATATGATATAATAAATAATAATATAATATTATATTATAAAGTATTTATATATATCAGGGGATGACGGCTAACTCTGCGCCTATACTGATACTACACGGAGAGAAATGTTCAGTAAAAATTACGGACTCACAATTCACTCACCGATTACGGAATTGACTCAGAAAATTTAAGTGACAGTGTCGTAATTTTTCACAGGAGATTCAGATAAAAATTACGGAACGCCCCGGAAAAATTCTGTGATAGTTCCGTAAAATTTCGTACAACCATATTTCGCTCCGGAATTACGGAAAAGATACGTCATTTTTATTGAATATTTCTCTCCGTGTAGTTAAAAAAAATTTCATTCTCTGTATACGCAAGAAATGTCATTTCTAGCACTACTCCTTCGTTATTCGATACTCCCATACGTATTTTGCTCCCGAAAAATCTTTGTTTTATGCGAAACAAGGGATAGTAGTTTTTCGTTTCGGCTGTCTAATAATCACAGACCAGAAATGAACCCTTAAATGAAATAATAGTAATGATATGATAGCAATCTTGTAACTCAGGGATAAAATATTTGTTGATAAATTTTCCTCTATATGAGATATTTTCCTCCTGAAAAGGCACCGTCTGGTGGGAATTCTCCGCCTCTTGAGCCAAATATTTCGTTGCTGTCGAAAGCAGAACAATTATTCATGTTTGAGACTTTCAAATTTGAAACAAACAAATTTTTCTTGGCAATTTTCAACTCGCGATTTTCTTGGGCCAAACATGACTTGTTTGACAACGTGTTTGTTTTTCTCTCAGTGTAGCTTACTTTGATTCGAGTGTTTTATCCAAAAACAAAAATTACTGAGAAAATCAGTTTTCATTTCACGAAAAGTCAATTGTGAAAATGATTTATATAAAATTTAACGGCGAAATTGACTACTTTTTTGTCTGGGATTTTGGGTTTTTCATTGGTTTTTTTCTTCACTCAACAAATATAATGAGATGCGGAAACGTTACGCCAGTGTCTCGTCTTGCTCCGGTTGTTGTTTGCACGGTTAGTTAATGAAACGTTAACGTTTGCGATGTCCCCCTCGGGTACCACCAAATATTCAGCACGTGGCTGTCCAATCCATACTATATACGTTTCAGTTTGTTACATAATAGTTACAATATGGGGAGGCGACATTTTCCCTCGACGCGCAACTACTTCGAAAGCATCGCCTCCTCCCTCTAAGTCAATCTCAAACACCCTCGACAAGCAGACTGGCCCTGAGTTGTATTATAATTAACGTGTATATAATTTATGAACGAGGCCCCCGTGGTCCCAGACATTATTTATCCAAAATATAACACAAACATGTGAGAAACTCTCTCCCCAGGCCTCTCTTCACTGAAGTTAGGTGCACGGTACTAATTTATAGAATTATTATTTTGTATAGGCTTGGTGTTAATGCGTAGCCAGGTAGTGTAATTAGTTGGTGGGCTCATATATCCCTTTAGAGGTGAAAAAGACACTCTAATGAAAATGCTCTTTGGTGGACAAGAAGACGAGGAGGGGAAAAGCGCTTAAATTGACCATCCACTACACTGAGAGAAAAACGACAAAATTCTGAAACAAGTCTTACTTGTGCCAAGAAAATAGTTTTTTGAAAATTATCAAAAAAGGATTTTTTTTGTGCCAAACAAGCAGAGAGTGCGTCGGAATGAAAAATTTTTGTCGCAAAAATAGATTGAGTAGTTCAAAAAACGTAATACTCCCATACGTAATTTGCTCCCTTTGTTTTATGTGAAACAAGGGATAGTAGTTTTTCATTTCGGCTGTCTAATAATCACAGACAAGAAATGAACACCTAAATGAAACAATAATAATGATATGATAGCAATCTTGCAATTTAGGGACAAAAATTTGTTGATAAATTTTCCTCTATATGAGATATTTTCATCCTGAAAAGGCACCGTCTGGTGTGAATTATTCGCCTCTTGAGCCAAATATTTCGTTGCTGTCGAAAGCAGAACGATTATTCATGTTTGAGACTTTTAAATTCCAACCAAACAAATTCTTTTTTGGTAATTTTCAACCAGCAATTTTGTTGGCCCAAACGAAAGTTGTTTAACAACGTGTTTGTTTTTCTCTCAGTGTACTGGTCCCTTATCCGGCGTCATCTCTAGAACCCCGTGACTTAGACGTTTATACACTTAGACGTTTATACAGTTAGGTGCTGCCAATTTTTACTTTGAGTCGTCTGTTCAGCTCTCTTCCCCATTGCATTCCTACATTGTTTGGTAATTAATTTGGCATCCCTCCGGCACTGCCGGATACCAGCTTATACACCCTTTCTCCTTTGTGTAGAGTCAAAAATAAAAAAATATTAAAATAATAATGTTTAAAAATACAGGAGTAACATGGCACTGCAGCATTGCCGCACAAATGAAAATTAGAGAGAAAAAGAGAGAGACAACAATGGCAATAGCAATGGCAATAATGATAATAATGAGGCAAAAATCAAAATATGATTTTTCTGATTTTTAACCAGAGTGTCTCAGGATTTTACGGTTTGAGTATATAGTATATAGAAGAATAAAAAGGAAACGGGCGCTCTAGTCGAGAGCTGGCATACTATCCACAGCCGAGGCCAGCCTCCCTCATCCTCCTTCTTATCCCACTCTGCCCCAATTTTCCCGCTTTTTCAAATCTTCTCGCTCTATAACCCTCAGCGTGCGCATCTCTCCTGCAATCGTGCTCTATGTAACTCTGTAATATCAAGCCTATATCTATATGAATCCAGCAAATATACATCAAACTTATAATTTAGCTATTGTTTTAGATCAGCATTGATAGCACTATTGTCAGTGACAGCATTTTTCGTTTCCTGAAAATGCACCAATCAAATCACATAGAGAACAACATTAATATCAGGGAAATTTCCTTTGTGCTTCCGAATGGAAGAATTGTAATTGTTCAAATTTAAGTTTTGGATTTTTTGTGTTATATCGACCCATGTGATCTAGAAAGTCCGAATATGCAAGTTTTTCGTCAATATCTCGCTAATGAATCAATAGAATTGAATAATTTTTCTTCTTAAATGAAGATATTGCTAGGCCCTATCCATCGTCATTAATTAAAATTTAATCCAGTGATTAATTTTTTAATTTTCGAATTTTTTCAAAATTCAGTTGTTACACGATACCTAAAAAAATGTTCAAAATTCATTGAATGACTTAAAAAATTCATTGGGATGTCCTTTTGACCGAGCTCGAAGATGAAAGCGACAGCAATAATTGTTATTTTGATTTCTGTGAAATTTTTCCAAAATATCGTATTTTTCGAAAATCAGAATTCCGCAGATAAGAATATAAAGCGCGAAACGTGGATAAAAGATGTAACTCTTGAAGCAAATGCCACCTTAATGCGACGAGAATATCAGCCCGCAAAGGAACAAAGGGGTGAGAGGAGTAATAGAAACGAATAAAAGAACAACAATCTGTTATATGTAAGAAAGGGATAATAAAAACAGTAATAATGATAGAGTTTCATTAAGTGGGAAATCTAAAACAATTAGTTCGAAAGAAATTAGTTCAATTCGAGAAAATGAAATAGGCTATGAATAATGTCCAATAATATACAATTTATTAGCAAAAATAACTGTACTATAGGCAATACATTCGCAATTTCCCACTTGTTTTCCATTTTTCCGTGTAATTCTCAAATGTATTAGAGTATAAGATAAGCAGGCCTCTGCAATTATAATCTGGTGAGGATGGTTGATATAGAAAATGATTTAACCAAGTCTCAACCGAGCAGTACACAGTTCTCCTTACGAATGCAACAATGGCCATCGTTGGCTTTGGCCTCCTTTTTCCTAGTGTCTCTTCGAGTGCAGCCCAGTTTTGTGGAGAGAGTGAAAGGGCTTGAGACGACGGAAAGCTCGTTGCTTCTCTGGGTCTTAACGGCTTGCATATTTCACACCCTCCCAATGTTGGATGTACAGCTCTCAACAATGGCACATTGTTATTCGGCCTGCTCGCCAAGAGAACGCTAGCGCGGGTTTGTGAAGGGCTTGTAAAAGGATGGAAGGGGGCAAAGGAGAGTAAGCGGCTACACAGTGAATGAATGAGTTGGAAAAGGAAAGGTGAAGGAGCTCGAACCAAGAGGGTGGTTACACGGCCAAGATGGCGTAATATTTTTAATGGAGGGTGTCCTGGGTGATCTACGACGGAGCATTGTTTCCCCGAGACGCCTCATATATTATTTTCACTGACTCTATACTCCTTCAGCTTGAATTTTTTCCTTCACATTTACAATAATATGTGTATAATATATTCCTGCTTATAGACTGACAATTGTTTTTCCATTGAGCCTCTCATTTTTCCGCTTTTATCGCATTCAATGTATGCAATAAATTGCTCGAGTTATTGTACCTCTACAGAGTTACTTCAGTGGAAAACCCTTTTGGCTTTAATCCGATAACGAATCCCCCTCGCACTCAAAACCATCAACAATTTTGCAGAGAGTGGCACAGACTATACTCATTACTTGGGTAAATTTATGCGATTGCCCACTGTGTCGTTCCTCGTCTATTTCCGTCTTCAATATTCAAATTTGTTTCAACTTGACATCCTCCTCCTCCTCATTTAGCCAAGTTACTTTGGAATACACACAATACCACGAGAGGAGATGGCGTCGTTTTCATTTATTTAGAAATCAATTGAACTTTGACTATTAATTTTGCATCTAGCAATTTATCATTAGTTTTTTCTGTATCAGTGTTGGCTATGTTCATAAATTCATCCATCAATTACAAAATACTGAAAAGAGCCTATGCCGGTTATTAAAGTGAACGAGGGTAGTTATAAACTCACAGATATTTCAACTACTGCGTCTCGTCACGAGGGGACGGAGGTGAGGGAAAATAAGAGAAGCTACTTGAGGAAAAGATGCAACTCTCGTAAACGTTCATTGTCGAATGAAGCCATTGAAGTTACTTTTTATTTGAGATGTATCATTCCAAAAGTATAACCCTAAAATTTCATATAATTGTTTAGCATTCAAGAAAACGGAATTAAAGTTCTTTGTAAATGAAATGTGGGTCATAAAAAAAAATAGAGATAAAAGGCCTTTTCTCTCAGTGAATGTGTTACAATGTTGATTCAACAGTACAGAGTACAGAGTATACATATAGGTATATAAGCTCTTTTTGAACCACGCTGAGGATGTACGTACACTTCGGGAGCCGTTAAAAGCTCACGCGCTGCTTGCAAGGAAATCGTCTGGTATAATGGCGCACACTGGAGTGTAACAATCGTCTGGGCCACACCAAACTGAGCCATCAAAAGCATTGCAGAAACGAGAATTGTACGCTATGGCTCTGGTGGAGCGCAGTTATATCAACGAAACTAACATTTTGTCTTTTATACTTTCTTACTTGTGCACTGCAAAGAGAATGAATGGATGACTTCTCACTTGTCAAATGTCAAATTAATTTCTTCCCTATTTCAATTAATTTTTAGTTTATGTTATCTATCTGTCGACATAGCGTAATACATTGAAAGGCTTCTGGCTTGAAAATTCATTAATAATCGGACGTAAATTCAGAGCCATAAAAACCTCACGAGCCTCGAACGAGAGAGAGATTGGCTTTTTTTTCTCAATCTTGTTCTCGCCACTCTTACCTGAAGGGAAAAAAAATAAACAAAAAGAGGTAAAATGGAGAAGAACCTGGAGAAAAGTAAAATTGGAAAGGATGTTTTATTAAACAATTGGGCTTTGTTTTTCTCATTACTCTCGCTTTAGAGCATGAATGATTCATTAAATTTTGACACATCGTGCATCATCACAATACAGCCGGTGTATGACAAATCTTGTCCAGAATCATGTCAGTGAGACCAATGACCATTATCATTTGGGATTAATAATAAATAGTTAACACAAAAATATTGTTATTTGTGCCTTCAGAACACCAACACGCAAGTGGCGTTGCAAGCGGCCCAAGGACAAACTGTGCAGGGCCAGGGCGATACGCAAGGCGGACCCAATACTGTTCTAAGAGTCATCGTAGAGCACATGATCTATCCAATTTCCCTGGATATTCTTTATCAGGTAAAAAAATCATTATGTATTGTTATAAGATTGTTTATTAGAAAAAAATGAAGATAAATACGTCTCTGTTCATGTTTCTTCGTATTTTTTCAACACGGAGAGAAAAATTCAATAAGTATTACCTGAAATAAATGTAAAAATTATGTTTTGAAACGTAATCGCTACGTAAATTCTACGATTTGTTCCGTAAAAATTTACCACCCGTCTGATGACTCACTACTGTGGGAATAACAAGTCGTTCCGTAATTTATCCCCAACGATTGAGAAATTGTACGGAACGGAACGTAGAAATGACTCACCAGCTTCAGAAAAATTGGAGGCACAATAAGTCGGCAAATTTCTGTAAGATTTTACTCTTCGGGAAAAATGACGTGACAATTTCGTACTTTGTTCGGTGATGAACCTAAAAATTCCCTGAACATTTCAGATTTCTTCTCTTCCATTCCCATAAAAATTCCCGGAAAACGATTCCCCATCGTGGATTACGTGAATTGTTCCGTAATTTTTGCTGAATATTTCTCTCCGTGAAGGGGATGAAATTTTCCAATGGATTAGTTAAAAGATATGAAATACGTTAAGCAGTGCTTGATTCATGATTACATTCATTCTTCATGATAAATTGGGATTGAAATGAGTTACGCCGAGATAATTGAATATATTATGGAACTGCGTGTTAAGAGATTAGTGGTTAATTATTCAGTAGATAGCGTAGTTGAAACTGCACCGCCGTTTGTACTTTCATAAAGTCGAAACAAAAAAAAAAAAGAGTAACAACAAGGGAGGGATAAGTAGCTGTACCACGTGGTTGCGTCATTAGGGACGTCGAACGAAAGCCTCGAGATCCCCTTTGGGGAATGATGCAGGGCCTCCACAATGTGGGAGAAGGGATAACGGGAGTGCTTCCGGTTCGAGTTGAGTGGTCCATGCATTTTTAAACGCCTCAAAACCTACTATTTCTCTTTTTCTCCCAACTCTCCAGCGTTTTCTCTCGCTGAGAATATGCGATCCAGAGCTTACACCGGCCCAGAGCAAACCTCAAAACACGCTACATTATAGTAACGAAATTTAATAACGTATACATTGAACGTGCACTTTTATTCCCTCGATAATCGTACGATGTAGCGTTAAAAGCGTGCTTTCCCGGAACATCTTTAATCTCAGCCAAGGGCTAAGCAGGGCTTAACCAAAGACGTAGAAAGGTTTCTATGTAGAAAACGACCTAGTTGTATTTTCAGTCACTCATCACCCCCGCGTTTCTTACACTCTTGTACATGACAACGGATAACAGCAGAATATTAAAAAAAAATCTCTCTCTCCCTCTGCCGTTCTCTCCCTTTTCAACATGACTACTATTTATCAAATATCGCGATCTTTTTTTCCCTCCAACCTTACCCAAATAATCACTTGTATAATATCACCTGTACAGCTGCCTGACCATTTTGGTAGTTGTACTACTTAAACCGAAACAAACTATTATCATACGTTACTGCAACAAACACATGCCTTCCTTCTACTAATATCGACGGCAATTTCTAATCCCACTTAAATTAGTCCTGCATTCTACACTCGAGTTCCACCCCAGCAACTGGGGCTAGCTTGGGTTTGGTAAGCACACTTGCCGCTGGGTATCTAGCCTTCAGAGACTCGGAAATAACTTTCTCCCGGTGCTTGAGTTAAATAACCTAGGAGCTTTGCTTGACGCTCTCAGAACAACCCTCGAGAAAACAACAATTCATTTGAACTGCTATGAAAAGCTTTTACACAATTTTCCAACCGATCTTTTTATCTCGCCATCATCCATCCAATCTTTTTTTTTGTCCTTCCATTATTTTGTTTGTCCTCCGTACGTGAAAGCTCCAGCTGTGGTTTTTCCCTACTGGATTTGTCCCGGGCTTAATTTATATCGACGTTTTCCGGATTTTTTTTCCTATTTTTTTTTCATTCTCAATTTTCTCCTCCTTTTTTGTTCATTTTTCTATTACTTGTTTTCCGAATTCACCGATATCCAACTTTACGATCAACTCGCGCCCCACTGCGATCCGAAAGCCCCCTGAAACAGGAAAAAAATGACAGAAGGGAGAAGAATACTTAAGGAGGAGATTTCTTTTCCGAACAGTCAACCGAGCGACACCAGAGCCGGTGGCGGCGGAGTAAAGTCATCATCCCAATATTCAATTTTCCACTCTCGAAAGAAACTTTGGATAACGAATACGCATCAACGAGTGGACGAAAACAAAGAGAAAAGGGGGAGGACAGAAAAACAACCATAATGCTAAAACGAAGAAAAATAAAGGGGGTGGAAAAATAAAGTTGAATTGTTTGTCTTTAAAATGTAGAAAAATTTGTTTTCTCTGCACTTCACCCCAGAAACTTTCGTTTGACTGAAAACTTTGACTTTTCAACGCTCAGGCTAAAGTTACGAGTGCCATCAAGTTTTCGGTTTATATACAGTTGAATAGGTATATAAATGCTCCCTAGTGTAGATGTGTCTATGGTAAACCACCTGGGACTCGATGGGGGAAGTAACTTCTCTTTTTGATCGATGATTTCACCACTCAAATCGTCTACGGAACTCATTGAAAATTATCTGTTAGATAATAAACATTACACTGAGAGAAAAACAAACACGTCAAACAAGTCTTGTTGGGGCCAACAAAATCGCTAGTTGAAAATTGCCAAAAAAGAATTTGGTTGGTTCGAATTTGAAAGTCCCAGACATGCATAATTGTTCTGCTTTCGACAGGAACGAAATATTTGGCTCAAGAGGCGGATAATTCACACCAGACGGTGCCTTTTTAGGATGAAAATATCTCATACAGAGGAAAATTTATCAACAAATATTTTATCCCTAAGTTACAAGATTATGTCATTATTATTGTTTCATTTAAGGGTTCATTTCTTGTCTGTGATTATTAGACAGCCGAAACGAAAAACTACTATTCCTTGTTTCGCATAAAACCAAGATTTTTCGGGAGCAAAATACGTATGGGAGTATCGAATAACGAAGGAGTAGTGCTAGAAATGACATTTCTCGCGTCTACAGACAATGCAATTTTTTTTGAACTACTAAATCTATTTTTGCGACAAAAATTTTTCATTCCGGTGCACTCTGCATGTTTAGCACAAAAAAATCCTTTTTTGATAATTTTCAAAAAACTACTTTCTTGGTACAAGTAAGATTTGTTTGAGAACTTTGTCGTTTCTCTCTCAGGGCAATACATTAATTTTTATGGAGATGTCAATAAAAATTTCAAGTACAGTTTGTAAATCGTTTTTGACTGCACTGATAGAAAGGATTAGTTATTGTTAACGAATGGATTTGGTTGGAGACTAGGGTCTATCCGGTTTCACCAAATTTTCATTCATTAATTGTTAACAAATGCACATTTGAGGAGCCTTGTTTGACTCGATTTTCCCTTTTCAGGTGAACTATTCAAACTATTAACGCCTATCCACTTGGTTGATCCTTTTTCGATAATTTTCCAAAAACTATTTTCTTGTCACAAGTAAGACTTGTTTGAGAACTTTGTCGTTTTTCTCAATGTAGAATACAGCAACAAGTCCCTGGTTACTGATCGATTTGATTTAAGAGCTGAGACAACATGATTAATATTAGAGTTCGATCGTCAGCCACCTCCTTATATCAACAGCCCAGTGTTTGCGTCATTTTCATTTCATGTTTAATATTTTCATTACATTGCGAGGGATGAGCGACAGAAACTCATACATCGATATAATTCAACACCATGGCAAATTAATAACTGTTGCGGTGGTAATCAATAACGAAACGACATTGACGTGTAACAAGCCGCGCGCACGTATACTAGACCCGGTGCAAACCATATACCATATCGTGGTGATACGTAATCCCAAGCGTCGATTTTCCAACTGCCCCTGCTTTCCCCTGCTCGCACATGTCCGGGTAGCAGACGAATCGTCGTAAGCCAACCGATACACATACAGAATTCAATTTCCAATACAAGCTTCTCCAGAGAAGCATTTCTTATCCCCGGCTTCCCCTCCCTGTACAATGTGTCGAGGAGACGAACACAAATGTTCAACCTCTGGCCTCCGTAATCCGCTTTCCCGATCTTCCAAAAAATTCAAGACAGAAAAAAATCTTCAGCTACACGGAGATAAGCCGGTCAACTTAATGGTGAAACATTCTTCTTGGAGGCTATAGAAACTCGTTTTGTCTTGTGAGTAGCATTTGCCAAATAATTCACGTTAAAATATAAATGAATAGGGTAATTAATATCCGTTTGAATGAAATGAATTGATGAGGAAAGGGCAATAAAAGGGGGGGGGGGCTCGATAAAGGGGGATCGGATCGATGGAAATATCAAGGGAGGGGGTGTTGAGACGATGGAGAATATTATGGTGGGGCCCTAGTACGAGCGGAAGCTATCGGGTCGGCAGGAAGATTGCTCGCGTGCCGTTGGCTTTTCTTGCGATTTGAGAGACCAGCAGAAAAGAAATGGGTGAAAGAGCAAAAAAAAGGCAGAAGGCGGAAAGGAGGAGGCAGGGTCTCGAGTGAAAAATTCTCAAGCGCACATCACGGCCTTCTTTTTTCTCAATGGGGTTTTGTAGCCCTGTTGCCCATTTCCTTTCCTCCCGTGTACTTCGATCGAACCGGGGGAACAAACGCCGATGGGACACGAGCCAAGTGGAAACAATGACACGATAAAACCTACGGAGGTAGAGAAAAATAAAATATTAGACACAGCTTATGGTTCTGGACCACGAATGACGGCGCTAGAAAGGCCAAAAACCCGGTGTCTCTCATCGGCCGACTTTTCCCTCTTTTGCCATTCCACTGAAAACCTAAATTTTTATTTTCCACTTGTTACTGTCAGAGAACTATCTATCTCTTTCTATTCACAACAGACCAGTATCACGCGATAGTCGGAGTTCTGAAACACGTTTGTGCGCGTTTTTCCGCGGCAAGTTGATTTCCCACGGGATAGGCGTCCGAAAGAGGAAAAAGTGATGAAAAAAAGAAAAAGAAAACACCGCGGTTACTCCATTTTTAGAGGCGAACCAATTTTATCACGATTCCCAAGATATTTCCAAGATTTTTCGAGCAAATTACGAGTGTCATCGTGTGTTATGACGATTCGACTGATTTGGTTGTCTGTCAATGTTTTTTAAGACATCAGTTTTTTCATCATTACCGGAATTTTCCCCTTATCATTATTGTTATCAATGTAATTCTGTCAATTCAGGCCAATCTGATCGATTGGCGGGGGGGAGGGGGGAGGAACACAGAAAAAATATTTAAATGACTCCATGTTTGATTACAAATATTTCATACAATACATGTCAAGAAGAGGTAAACACATTTGTCATAATAACAAGCCAATATCGTTAATGAACGTGACTTTATTTACTGTGAGTAAATTGAAAAAAAAATTGTTGCCTCTCACATACACTTCCAAATCCCAAAATATTATCTTTTATTGTGGACAGAAAAAAAAACATTATTAATTACTATAATGGATGCGAATTGTCGGGCTCATATGTAGATTGAATAATATTTGACAAAGAGAAGTTGCAGTAAATATTTATGCATTGACTCTCGTGCCGAACCTGCACAGAATATATATATATATATTTATGTAACTACTCGAATGAGTGCATCGTCGGCCGCTTACCTACTAGGTAGGCCATTCGTGATAAGCGATACGTTTATTAATTTTGTACGCTACGGAGCGCAAAGGGTTGATATACGCGTAACCATGCGCACCCCTCTTCATCCTTGTATTTCATCTCCCTCAACATGAGGGAGATGAGCACACATGCTGGTAGCTATCTTCAATGGGACAGAGAGAATGCCACGATTATTTNATATATATATATATATATATATATATATATATATATATATATATATATATATTTATGTAACTACTCGAATGAGTGCATCGTCGGCCGCTTACCTACTAGGTAGGCCATTCGTGATAAGCGATACGTTTATTAATTTTGTACGCTACGGAGCGCAAAGGGTTGATATACGCGTAACCATGCGCACCCCTCTTCATCCTTGTATTTCATCTCCCTCAACATGAGGGAGATGAGCACACATGCTGGTAGCTATCTTCAATGGGACAGAGAGAATGCCACGATTATTTGTATTCTGCATTTGTATATCTGCTCCTGTTCACTTGATCCACACGGCGAGTTACAAGCTCTCATTATAATCCAATGCATTCCCGATCGGTCTGAATACAAGCTATTTTTACAAGCGAGAGTATCACAACTCATTCCGGTAATCTCAAATGAATATGAAATTTGCGGGCCTTCTCCATTCATATTGATATACAGAAAAAAAATACTTCTCACCAGTACAAATCGGTACTTGGGGGACGTTCACTTTTGAAAAGTTGTAAAAATACTCGTCCCAAGTACATTTTATGTCCTTGGGTGAAGTACCACATCTGCCGATCGAGTAGAAATGGTACCGGGAGGAAGTAGTATCGCTACTTACTGCCAGTACTTTTAGTACTTTCCACAAGTACCAAAGGTACTAGTGAAAAGTAATTTTTCAACTTCTCTCAAGTACTTTTTAGTACTTAATTTCAGTACTTCCAATTGATTACTTTATTGGAAAAAGTGAATATTATTACCGGATAGAATGGGCTTTCTTACGCATTTTTGTAAATAGAAATGTTCAGCAGAAGATATTTTGGAGGAAAAAATCAATAGATTGCGATTTTTATGGATGCTTTCGAAAATTATTGGTATGCTTTCCAACCTCCAAAATTTCAATTTTGTTGAGATTTTTATGTTTTACGTTGTTATCAACATTTAAAAGGCTTCGAAAAATTATTTTCAATTTCTTTTCAATTTTATTACTCATAAAACGGGAATTGTTTGGATTTTTGAATTTTTGACGAACTTCGGGTTTTAGAAGAGGTAGAAAAACATTTTTGAGTTCTTATACTCAACTTATATTGAGTTTATTTGGTACTTTTAAAAAGAACCAGCCAGGCAGTCAGTACAAGTAATTTTTTTACTTGTCCCAAGTACTTGACGCATGATACTTGCATCAAGTTGCTTTGTAACTTCGAGGAAGTACAAAAATGTCCTTTTCTACTGATCGAAAGTAATTTTTTTTGTGATAAAAATACATTACATTACATCAGTTCATTATTTAATGATTGATTTATATTTTTCAGATATTCACTCGCTTCGGGAAAGTCTTGAAAATCGTAACATTCACGAAAAATAGTAAGTATCACAGTATACATTGTTTCAAGTGAAAATAGGTGGTTCATACGTATATGTTGTGTCAGAGATATGCTGGGTTGAGCTTTCGCACCCGTTAAAGTTCTTTCGATATTGCGTCCCAAGTATAGCGAAAGCCCCTCAAGGGCTGTCTCCATATATACCATCATATACTGCTAGAGTAATACATAGGTGGCCTTTCTTCCCCGAGCCTGCATCTCTTTTGCTACATTCACTGGTGTAGTAGTGGCCCCGTCGTCGCCTTTCGAAAATTCAATTTTCCATCGTGCAAACGAAAGCCGTACTCTTGGATGTGTATGCACTCATAGTTTTTTTTTCTTCTTTCTCTATAGCTCCTCCTTTTTTATTCTTTTTCCTTCTTCACTCCTTCAACTCCAGCATCGTATGACTAACGTTTACCTTTCTTACTATTACAATAAAAATCTTATAAATTATGGAGACAGTCACTGGTGCTATTCGTCGAGTTTATTCAATTTCTGTTTTTTTTTTCGCAACGGTGAAAAAAAAGTTTGGATGTATCTCATATATTTCCAAGTATGCACGAGGTCCAATCCTACTCTATGAATTCAAAGTTTTTACAGATAATTTATGACGTATATTTTACATTCGTTTAAACACTTTTTTTTTTCAGGCACATTTCAAGCTCTCATACAGTATTCGGACACAATGTCTGCGCAGACTGCTAAATTGGTACGTATAACAATTTATTTTTCCTCCTTCCCTTGTAGATATACACTGCCCCCTTAAATTTCCGGCATGCACATGTACGATCCACCTGCCGAATCCTTTGGGTGAGATAAGCGCCTGGGAATATTCTTCCGGATGCTACTGTATTCTCGACGTCTCTATGTACTTGGCGCAATGTAAATTAAATATCATAGCATCTCTAGTTGTTCAATTCGTGCGAAATCATTCAACAATTTTCAGAAATGCATCGCATAAGTGATTCAAACGACACAGGTTAACATTGATTTTTTACCAGGAAGAATTAACAGTTGATTAACTTTTGCATATTAAACGATTGAACCCAATAGTTAAGTGCTTGAAATTTAAAAACCGATATGAAAAAGCTGTAAATTTTTAACAACGACAAAGTTACATGAGATTTATGTATATTTCTTCATTGGCGAATCAGTTAATTTCTTGAATATTCAAGTAATTCTCGATTTTCAAGTCCATACGTCACTGAAAAACCTTCAAAATGTTGAAAATTCAGGCAATAACTTTGCTGAATTCTCAATTTATTGAAAATTGAATTGTATATGACGTTTCACGACGAGTTAGGAAATTTAAGCTTTCATAAAAAAATCAATGATTGTTTATCATTAAAATCCCAATTTTCTTGAATTTTGAAGATGAATAAGAAATTTAGTGAACGCTTTCATTTGAAATTGAATTCAACCTCACAACATCGAAAATTCAGATGACGATGTGATTGAAATTTCAAGAAATTTCTAACGGTGTATATAGAAAATTCAAACCCCCAATAATTTCAATGGATCAACGATTAACGAGAAAAAACAACAGTAAACCAAATATTGAAAAGAGAAAAAACAAGAGTAAATAGGGACCAGAGAGCGAGAGAGAACGATAGAATCTATAATATTGTAGTGCAGGGGAGGCCAGTACGATACTGAAACTGCGTGGCCTGTTGGAAAATTTATCAGTAACGCACGTAATTATGTACGAAATTCATTAGCACGTACAAATATGCACACTGGGATTGTATATGGACTCGTCTATTTTCAACCACTATACAACACAGTTAGTGAGGTATACCGGGTGTGGAACGTTATAACACATATGCTCAGCATTCAGAGTATATAGAAACGCCGAGTAACCCAAGTCAAACAAAGGCAGTCCATGTTTAAAGCAAGTGCCTACAGCTCAGAGAGTGCACAGTTTCCAGTATTGTGCGGTGGGCATGTTACTGGGTTATTAATGAAAATCAAATATCGTTGTGTACGCGCATACCACTAGTCACCAGGGATACATAATTGTAGTGTCACTTGATCTGCCAGCCAATATAACGAATAGCAATAACAAACTAATTACCGTGAAAATAATGCATGCCATTTAAAAAAATAAATAAAAAAAAAGTAAAAATAAAAAATAAAAATTTCCAGTCTCTCGATGGGCAGAATATTTACAATTCCTGCTGTACACTTCGCATAGACTTTAGTAAAATGCAGAGCCTCAATGTCAAGTACAACAATGACAAATCACGTGATTACACAAATCCAACCCTCCCAACTGGTGACCCAAATTTGGATGCAGCATCACTGGCACTTGGTGGTGAGCTTCTTCCGCAATTGCTACTAGGTGCTGCGGCGGGCTCACAGCCGAGAGCACGCTTACCTGGTAAGTATTGAATGTTCTTATTAACTCGTAACTCAATTCTCACTTGTCAAAGACAAGTGGGAGACGTGTGCGATTAATGTAATCTCATGAATTGCCTGAAGTAGAGTCAATTGCAGGAGCACCAAGTGTACTTGCATCGCCATTTGCTACGATGCATGGATTACCATCGCCCCTTGCTGGCCCTTACGGCAATGGAGTGGCACCAGGTGGAGGCATCGCTGGACTCGGTGGATTTAGCCTGGGTGCTGGTGCACTCGGGGTCAGGGTGCCTGGTAGCCCTCAAATGTCATCTGTTCTATTAGTCACCAATTTGAACGAAGAGGTAAGTCAATAGTAAACCCTCGGACTTTCTCCGCCGACCTCCTACTCCATCAATTCCCCTTTTCCTTGTTTTTCTTTCTCCCAATTAAAAATTCCCAGTCAAATGTGCCGCCGGTCGGAAACGAGAAGTCCTTTACACGAATACTTGAAAGAAACTGCATTTTTTTGTTCTCTTCCATTAAAACATGAAAAACAATGAAGGTCCCTAATTTTCCTGTTTAACTCTTCCTTGTCCTGTAAACTCCATCTGTGAGTTTACCCATTTCATGAAATAATTGAAAATGTCTTTAATGAGCAAGATTCACCGTGCTATTCCTTCTCAAAATCCGATTTCTCCAGGTATTCCGAAAATTGTCGTTTTTGCAATTTGCAAGTAATTAATTCAATTCATGTCACCCCTAGGGTTTAACAAATTCGCGTTTAATTTTAATACACTTGGGTTAACTAGGAAATATCGATTCACTGCGAGTAAATTCGAATAATTGGTATTTGTATTATTTTCGTCCTCCTCTCCGTTGGTGAATATTGTACATGTAATACGGTCTTTATTTTTCATTTTTTATACTCTGTTATCAATTTTTTTTACTGGCCTCTGTATTCTCCTCTCCTCTTCCCTCTTTGTACACCGATAATGTTCACTACCCCGATATTCTCAATGTGTCATGGTGCCCGGTGGAAAACCGCAATGAAATATTCAGATGTGAGTAACATTTTCAATTAATGAACAAAAGTTGAAATAACATTTGTGCCATCGATATATTGTAAAGGTGGAAAAATTGGAAAAGTAAAGGAAATTAATAAATAAATAATGGCCACCGGGTACCAATGGCAAATATAGCCAATTATTATTGAAAAGCATTTCGCAGCTGCAATCTGTCACTACTATTACTGTAACTGTGTGTTTACTTACTATTCATTAGTTTGTATCGTGCGCACAAGCTTCACGATTGTTTCAATTATTTTGCTTCATCATTTTACTTCTCATTTTTTATCATCATTTTTTCATTAATAATCAATTAATTTCCCGTACTTCTGTCTCATTCTATCTCTGTCACTATCAATTCACCATTCGACAGATCAATAACATTTATGTTGTTTTTATTTTTATTACTTCTTCCAAAAATTTGAAATTCACTCGAGAAACTTGTGCGCTCTTGTTTACACTATTTTTACACTATTTACATTACTGACTGGACTCTGTCTGTTCTCTGTGTAGATGGTCACGCCTGACGCTCTCTTTACCCTGTTTGGTACGTCTCCACATTTATATTATTAATTATATTACATTATTAATTATTATATTAAAAACAATTATACAATTCACTTTTCATTTACTACTGATTCTGCTGTAATATTTCAATTGCAGTTGACAAAATTATCAAATTATATTTGATCATTGGTCATTTTAACATTGTAACAGGAAGTCAATTAATTTTTCATTTTGTCAATTGTTTAATAATAAATCATGATCATATGAGCCGCAGAGGCGAGTCTCGATGCTTTGAAGATTATTAGATTCATAACTGGTTTCTCGTATCCTACCAGAGGCGCATAATACATCCAGTTATGCTATTCTCTTATTTATTACAATTATAACTTATTATTATTTTTTCTTTCGTCTGTTCTTCAGTTATTTTAGTTTCAAATCCACATTGCTCCTATTCGTTGTCTAATAATCATTTCAATTGTTCAATTTGCTTAATCATCAAATTAATTTTAAGCTCTCACTATTGACCACTGCCTTCAACTGTTTATCGAAAACAGAAACAATAAAATAAATGCAAACATCATTTCTATAGCTACCTATGGTCATCAGTTGCGAGTATACTAGAAAGTCTACAATTACATTCACATTTTTTCCGCCCTTTAAAAATCATTTATTACCTGTACAAATATTATTTCTTCTCATCAATGATTCATCAATTAATATCCGTTCTAGTGACCTTCATGTTGACATAAGCTTTTGCTTTGATAATACTTTATGTTATTTCGTAGGAACCCATACCCATATTACTTTACTCGGTTCATTCATGCTTGTTGGTCCTTCTTATATAGTTATTTAAAATGATAGAACATGATAAACAGTCACGCATGATCTAAACCTCACCAATCGTACCCAGTAAACATTTTTTTTGTTTTAAAATTCTTTTTGGTTTTTCATATTTTTCAACAAACTTGTCATCCCAATTGTCATTAATTTTATTTTATCAAACAAGGAACGATCGATGTGGAATAAAAATATTTGCATGTTACAAATTTAGGCGTTTATGGCGATGTACAGCGTGTGAAGATTCTGTATAACAAGAAAGACTCTGCCCTCATCCAAATGGCCGAACCTCAGCAGGGCCATCTAGGTGAGTTATAAAGTGGTCAAGTAGCTGTGAATTTTTAGATCCGATCAATTAGCCCCTCATGTATAGATATTCCAAATTTTTATTTTTTTCCTCATTGAAGTAGTTTTGAAAAAAATTGCGAGCTAATAAAAAACATTTGCTAGTTAGTACTTTTTTTAAAATAAATTTTTGAAAAATCACCTCTGAAAAAAAAGGCGTTATCCCCTCTATTTCATTATTTCCAAAAAATTTTGTCACCAATCGATAGCAAATTGTTTGAAGATTTTTGCGAGTTAAGAAAAAATCGTCAATGCAATCCTATTATTGTGTAAATTAACAATTCCAATTTCAACTGAAAACCAGAGTTGATGACCAGAGTTTGTAACAGAGATGTCAGACAAGATATGAATGTTTTTTTTTGCTCAAATGAAAGAGCAGCTCGAAAAATCAGCAAATGTTTTTTATTAGCTCGCAATTTTCTTCAAAACTACTTCAATGAGGAAAAAAATAAAAATTTGGAATATCTATACATGGGGGGCTAATTGATCGGATCTGAATTTTTCAATGTTTTTCTCTCCGGATTTGATCTATAGTGTTTTTTTCGTATACTTTGAATTAGCTATGACTCACATGGATAAGCTTCGAGTGTTTGGAAAACAAATCAGAGTTATGGTCAGCAAGCATCAAACAGTTCAGCTGCCAAAAGAGGGTCAACCTGATGCAGGTCTTACCAAAGACTACACCAACAGTCCTCTTCACCGATTCAAGAAGCCTGGTTCGAAAAATTATCAAAATATATATCCACCAAGTGGTACTTTGCATTTATCAAACATTCCGTAAGTGGCTATTACTGCTTATCATTTTTATGGAAATTCAGTTGTGATATTTATAATGTTTATTGGAATATTTTAATGACAGAGCAACGGTGACTGAAGAGGAGATAAAGGATGCATTTGAACAGAATGGATTCACAGTGAAGGCATTCAAGTTCTTCCCGAAAGACAGAAAAATGGCACTTATTCAGATGCCAAGCATGGACGAAGCTGTTGCAGCGTTAATTGTACGTTGTCGATTTCCATTATTTTTTTTAGTAGGGGCGGGTGGGGTAAAACGGACACTAGACTTTTTTTCTCAATTATTCATAACTCAGAAACAAATTGATCAATTGAGCTCAGTTTAGGCTCGTCAGAAAGGGAAAGAACTGCTCTTTGTATTGAAAAAAAAAATTATTAAATTGGCCGCTTTACCCCAACCTCCTCTGCATAATAAAATGATGATGTATATAAAATTATAATCGTACTATTAAATTACAGAAAATGCACAATTATCAATTGAGTGAGTCAAATCATCTGCGCGTGTCATTCTCAAAGAGCAACATCTAACAAGACAAGTCACATCATCAACACGTAGAGTCACAGTGGTTTCAGCCGTTCGCCCTTGTCCATTACTGGTATTCCAGTGCCCTATACGACTGATTGTCCTACGGACTAAGCATATGACTATGTATTGATGCATCAATATTTTTGACATTTTAGCTGAAGCCTTGCGGCCGTTGAAAGTCATAAATACCAAACATGGTTCAATGAAACAAACATTATTTTCATTTTTTCGTCACAGTTTGTCACATTCCAAAGTTGAAAATTCTTTCTGCATTCATCAACTTTAGTGATTCGCTTTATTTGGCTTTCGACATTTGAAAGCTTCATATGACAGATGAAGAAAAATAACTGCTAGAGACAAAGAGTATTGAGAATTTGTAGTGAAAAACAAACAAACAATTTTCAAGATGGAGAGTGACAGAAAAATCGATTAATTCTTGTAGGGGGTTAAACTTTTGATGAATGAGACGACGACTACACGTATTCTAGGATTTATCAGACGGTCGCTATAGCGTCCAAAATATAGTCGCGCTGGTGATTATTAATAATAATTATAATTATTATCATTATTATTATTATTAAGAATTTTTAATATTAAGTGATATTGATGATGGGCAAAGTATCATTGTAAAATGATGAAAAGAGAATCCAATCGCATCTCAGTGGTATGAAAATATCATTTTCATTTTCCTGTAGTTTAGATGTAAAACCGAAGTTGAAATGATTAACAATAAGAATGATCCAATGCCAATTGTCAAACGGGACCCTTGCCGTTTTTTTACCAACAGGTGCTAAAAAACCTGTTCACCTGTTGGAATCCAAGTTATTCATCTCTTTCAGACTGCTATTTGCGGATTGATGGATAACCCAATGTTTCCTGTCGGTCGTTGACAACCAAACCGTTGGCGGGAGACCGCAAATTGAAAAGAAATGAATAAACAACAAAACAACAAAAAATGCAAGACAATCGTGTCGATATTTTTTTAATACAAAATCGGCACATAAGTTGTACAAATGAGTTCCTCAAATTTCATTCTTCAATTTACGATGTTTTTACCTTTTTTTTTCAATCACTTGGCGTGAATTATTTTTTTCTCTTTTAGTTGTAGTTGATTTTTAAAAATATTTTTTGTGAGTATTCTTATGCAAGTACACGGTGTGCACGTCAAGATTACAATAACTTTTTCCTTTCTCTATCTCACCATCATCTGCATCGTTTTTCCAATCGTCTCCATATCTCTGTGTGCTGTCACTTTTTAAGAGTTTTATATTTACACTTTCCTTTTTTATCTTGGCATTTTTAAGGAATGACCGTAATACATATCGTCGCTTTTGAATTTTCAAATTCGTCGAGTAAATGGATAACGGAGTTCTCGTTTTTATTTATCAAAGGAAGAAAATAAAAAAAGAACGTCAAGGAATAATTGTGGGTTGGAGAATTTACTGTTCAAATATACCAAACATGGTCGTGAGGATATAATGAAAAAATTGTCTTCCACCAACAGCTGAACACACAATCATTATCCTTTGACTTTACACGATATATTGTTAGTGACAAATAATTATTCGAAATACCCTTCCCCTTTTTATAATTAGTTGAATATGTAACATTGATCAGGGATTATGCACGTTTAAACAGTGAAAAGGCGAATTAAATGGTTACAAAATAAACCAAGTGAATGCAATTATTTTGGCGAATACTTATATTTTGATCATAAAATTTTAAATGTCATTTCGACAACCAACAGCTATCATTTTCATACCTGATAGGAGGGAAAACTCATGATGGAACAACGCTTGCAAATCTAGCTACGTATAATTTATTCTCATAAACTGGCCTATCAATACATTCTTTAACGAAATAAACTACAGAAAGGTGCGATAAATAACATTGTAAAATAATGAAGAACCTTCGATGTTATTCAACAAGGCTTAGATGTGGACTTCGATAGCCACCAGTAAACCCATTAATTTAGAAACGAAAAAATTTTGAAAAATGAAAAAAAAGATAGAGAGAGAGAACATGCAAATCTTTTTTGGGACTATCGACGAGGTTCGAGTCAACTCATTGAAACAAAGAAAAAAGAAAGAAAACAAAAACACAAATAAGAGAAACTATATATACAAATATAAATAGCTACGTTTCGTCTAATGGACATGACGTTCTGTTGGAGTCAATTAACATTTCAATGGTACTGTAATTACGGGATACAACAGCGTGAATCCAGTGTAAATGAAGTGTGAGCGCGATATTTTGCGTGCATGATTTTGAAAAAACGTACATCTTGAAAAAAAAAAATATTGAAACAGAATACTATTATAAGCGAGTGCCGGCACGGGTAGTGGTTTATGTGCCAAACTAGGCTTATAATTCAATCGAGAAATAACAAGAGATAACATGGAAATGCCTTGGTAATGAATTTCCCAATGTTGGATATTATATATTTGTGTATCGACCAAAAATCACGATAACTGAAGGGATTTTAAAAAATATGATAATGCATTTTACAGTAGCCGGCATGAGCGAAGGGGCCAGTCTTTGAATTTATGATCTGTGTCTTTAGAATCTCAAATCAATTGAAAATATGAAGGAAAAAAGTAGTTATAAAGTAGTATTCCTTAAAAGTATAGCATTAAAGGAGAAGGACTTGAGCGGATTATCAAGCACTCACATGAAATGAAAGGAAGAAGGAAGGAGTAAGAGAAATTTGGAGTTGTACTAGTAATGAGGAAAAAGCGAGTATCCACACACGCACACCCACGAGAAAGGATCCATTTCTAGTATTATTACTTCCAGCGGTATATTATCAATAATTAAGTTGAATTGCCTCTTCTAACGTCATACTTGTACGTTGTATTTTTTTTCTCAATTATCACTAGCCTAGATTACGTGTCCCGAAATCGGAGATAATTTTTTCATGCCTGCATTTTATTATTATATTATCCATTATTTTATGATTATTGCCGTAATTACAATTTTCGGTGCTTCCTTATAAACACAAAAACAATTGAACGATAAAAATAATAATTCTGATTTTTTTTAAAGTTTCTTCTATTTATTTTCGCCCACTCTATTCCCCACGAATAATTTTTTCGTGTCCATTTCGTTGCTTCCAATACGTCTCCAACCAAGTGCAATAATATGAAAATAACTAATTCTTCATCTATTTCAGTGAGTTATGGGTAATGGACAAGGGAGTTCTTTTCAATGACGAGGTGATTTTGTTGCTGGGGACATGTGAATGATTTTTCAAAATTCAACTTCCTAAATTACACACAATTGGCTAAGTAGATAACCGAGGTTGGTATAGCTGAGCTACAAATAATTAAGTCAATTCCATTATTGGTACATTCATGACAGGGGGAATTACCACAATTACCTAATTTTTCCACTGAATTTCGTTCCAATGCCATGTAAAAAAACTGAATTGAGGAGGGCCGAGGTGAGAATTGGTCTAGCCAACAGGACCTTCTACGGCTGCACTAAGAAAAGATAACAAATCGTGTTCTTTTTTCTCTCTCATAATTATTATATTGGCATGTCGTCGATCTACTTGTCATGTTCAATGGGAAAATATACGAAGAAGACTATAATTGTGGGGCCTGACTAATAATGACACACGATACACTGAGAGAAAAACGACAAAATTCTCAAACAAGTCTTACTTGTGCCAAGAAAATAGTTTTTTGAAAATTATCAAAAAAAGATTTTTTTGTGCTAAACATGCAGAGAGTGCGCCGGAATGAAAAAAAGGGCATTCTCTGTTCACGCAAGAAACGTCATTTCTAGCACTACTCCTTCGTTATTCGATACTCCCATACGTATTTTGCTCCCAAAAAATCTTTGTTTTATGCGAAACAAGGGATAGTAGTTTCTCGTTTCGGCTGTCTAATAATCACAAACACGAAATGAACACTTCAATGAAACAATAATAATGATATGATAGCAATTTTGCAACTTAGGGATAAAATATTTGTTGATAAATTATCCCATATATGAGATATTTTCATCCTGAAAAGGCACCGTCTGGTGTGACTTATCCGCCTCTTGAGCCAAATATTCCGTTGCTGTCGAAAGCAGAACAATTATTCACGTCTGAGACCTTCAAATTCGAACCAAACAAATTGTTTTTCGGCAATTTCCAACTAGCGATTTTGTTGGCCCAAACAAGACTTCTTTGACAACGTGTTTGTTTTTCTCTCCGTGTAGATGAACTTGGTTGAGTCTGAGGACACAAGATGAGAGTGAAACCACTGTCGAACAAATAATTTTCAATTTCCTTGCAATTAAATCCTAGCAAATCACGTGGGGACTCCGTTTCATGTGCGGTATTGCCGCATCCGGTATGAATATGACATATATTTTATTAACAAACAATAAGAACATAGCATGAATTGTAAAGTATCACATTAAATGACTAGAATTGAATAGAATTGAAGGAGGAATAGACACTGTAATGTCCATCATGTTACTACGCATAGACGAACGGATGCTATTTGACTGACCGCAACAAATGAAAGGAATTAGTAAAATCTCCAACATTCTTTGGTTACCAATTCCAAGTCAGGGTATCATAATATAAATAGTAACACAAGAATAACCTTAAAGAGAAGAATAAATATGAAAAATAAAAGAATTGTATGACATGACTGTATTCATTAAAATTACTGCGTGACTATTGAAATGCTTCGAGTATCCGTAATTGAGATCGTGTCGTCGTACGAGCAGTTTGGAAATTTACATGGCTAAAAATTCGTGGTTAGTGATTCAATTCTTTTCAATCGTGAATTTTTGAGAAATCAAAGTGGCTAATGCAAATAAGTAAATTCCCTACATGGAATCGATAAATTTCGATATTTTTTATTTATTGATGATGAGAAGACTTTTCGCATGAAAGCTGATGGCTGATCTCTTTCGAGAAAAGGAATCTGAGACGCAATTGGAATACAAACTTTGAATTTCAGTTTGACTTTCCAATGTGGAAGAGAATAAAATGATATTAGTGAATTGAAGTCGCAGCACTGTGATTCATGGGAAGTTTTGAGTGTCTGCTTCAGTTTAATAAAACAACAAAAACAAAAAAGAGAATATATATTATTATATATTAAGAAGACAATTGTCGTATATAATGACTATAATTCTATTAACTATAAATCAATCAATGTCTCTGTAATCGGTGTTGGATTTTAATGAAAAAGAAAGTGATATAAAGAGAGATAGTTAATCTAGATTTTTTTTCCAGAAAAATCATGCAGTATAAATAGATTTTGGCAATTTCAGCGGGTTTACAGCATAAAACATTTCCCGGAGCCTCACATTTTTCGATAATATTAAGAAATGAAGAGAAAAAGGAAAAATTAAAAAACGAGGCGTAAATCTAGAGTTTTAAAATTCAATTAGTGAAGAATGCCATATATATATATTAAAGTAATGAAATTTACAATTTCCAAGCTCTGGAAATACAAATGTGTATAATTAAAGACAATCACTCTCTATCAACTAATTGACTAGAGAAAAACCCTAAGAAATGTTCAAGCTGCCACGCACCACTCACTCATTCAATTCTTGCCTTTGACTCTGACAAATCTCTTGGATTTTTCGAACAATTCTTTCATTGGACACTTTTGAAAATACGTATATATGTATATATATACAAGTATCACCAACGTGTCTCCGGTACACACCTTTTTTTCACTCCTCCTGTTGCCCTTCTGTTCTCACTTGCCCCAATAGGCTAAACAATTCCCTTGATTTGTCGTTGGCGATTTCTTCATTGACACACGAACATACATCTGGGAGCGGAATACCATTTCAATGAAGAGTGTCAGCGATATCTTGGAGGATTTTGGCTATCGACATTTTCCATTGGATAATAAAAAAAAAAATTATGAAAAATTAAAGAAGAAACCAATTATTGGGCCAGGAATTGCGTTGCAAATCACAATCAGCTCAGCTCCGGCAAGACAAATCATTTTTTAATAAAAAGAGAAATAATTGTCCGAGCGGGCGTTTTACGGTTAAGCTATTAGTATGTTTATTAAGATTAATAAGGAGAAGAAGAAAAAATAAGTGAAATTCAAAAGAACTTTCTGAAATGCAAAAGCGTGTACATTATTATTATTATAATAAAAAAGAGAAAGAGAGAGAGAGAGAAGGAAGGAAAAGAGAAAAACATATAAAAATTTAAAATAAAAATACACATGTACCTCTCGCGACGAAAGTGTTGACGTGCAGCACGCGAAACGTGGGTATTACACATGCTCATTGAATTAGTTTGATTATTATAAAATTGTACATTTTCAAATTGGGGGAGATTGACAAATCTCACTAAGGCATGTGATTGGGGGGACCACTGACGAATTGAGACATTCGTGGGAGATTTTTTCACTTTATGAGAGGCAACAAAACGATTCTGAATATTTGAAAAAGGCACAGTACAGTTTTATGATAATAAAGAGACTGCGTAATCTCAATTCTTATTTTCTATAAACCCCAAACATACGAGGCGTACGCGTAAAAACACACCAACACATTTCTTTCTCTATTCTATTTTTGTGTAGTATTGACTAGATAGATTTCAGTATTTTACCCTGATTTACTGTAATACATATCTTCATTAGTGAGGGACGGTGCATCCCGGGAAAAAACTTTTTCGTTTTTCGAGAAGAAAAATTTTAAAATACAATTTTCCGCGCGATTTTCTCTCGGGAATCTGATTTTGTAGGTCATAATTGTCTCTTGCCACTCAAAAGTGGAAAATTGAATTTTTTTTAATCGACAAATCAACTTAACAATCTTCAGCGTATGGTTTTTCGAAATAGTTTTTTATTGAGAAGAGACATTTTGAAGAAGTCGTTATTTTCAACGGATCGATTGTATTTTCGGGAGTAAGTTAAAAGTGTTAATTGGAACGAGTGAATTTCCACAAATAATGGAAAATGAATCGAAACAGCATGGAAAAAATGCACCGATTCGAATTTTTGGGAGGAAGTACGCTGGCAGTTTCTGGATCCCTGAGAGGAGCCCTCTCAACTATAGAGTAAAAAAAGGCTAGGTAGATGCATGGGGACCATTAAACATCGTGTCAGTAATCACAAATGCAGTTTATACAGAATATTTGAGCAAGAAAAATTTTTTCTTCAGATATAAATAAAAATTTTGACCAACAAATAAATTAAAAAATGCATCTTCTCCCGAATTTTTCATAATTAAGGAGCAAAAATTTCAGATCATATTCAAAAAACCATTTCAGTAGCGAAGTGGTAAAACGGTTCAAGGCGACTTATCTCTTGGTTGAGTTTTTGAAGAATTTCTCCGAATCGAAAGGAGATAATGGAATTTTCGTAATAACCTTTTTTATAAACCAAATTGAGTGCTACAAAAAAGGTCTTGATAAAAATTCAACTATCTCCCTTAGATTCCGAGATATTCACTAAAAACTGGCCAATAGCCAAAATCTATTAAACCGTTTTACCACTTCGCTACTGATTTCGAAAAAAAATCCGTTGGGGATTTTTGTGAAGTTGATTTTTTTCAATTAAAAAAAATCGATTCTCTACTTTTGAGTGGCAAGAGATTATTACGACCTACAAAATCAGACTCCCGATGAAAAATCGCGAGGGCAACAATTTTTTTTTTCCCGGGGTGAGCCTTCCCTCAACATTTCGCGCTATCGTTTCGAGAACATTGGAGGTAAATACATAATCATGGAAATCTTCAATCTATTTTTTTCCTTCTACTTCGGACATTTTTTATTATTTAACTATGAATCACTCAGTTTCAAGAATTGAGAGTTGCTAGTAGGAGAGAATGGAGTAAAAGAAAATGGTGTCACTTTAAAGACCGAAAAACTAACGTGAAGATGAGAAAAAAAATTCTGCCGTTCTCAAAATTTGATCTGTTTTAGCCCATCCACCCCTAAATTCCCGTAACAAACCTATAAAAATCCAGCATCACCATAAGAATTCCACTCATCCCACTCAGTGTACAAGAAGAAAAAATGAATTTGCAACAAAATCAATAATTATTAAGAGAAAATGTGAAG